CCATAAAAGTACCATAAGGTTTCTCATAAAAGTACCATAAGATTACCATCAGATACCATAAGATTACCATAAAAGTACCATAAGATTACCATAAGAGTACCATAAGATTACCATAAGATACCATAAGGTTACCATAAAAGTACCATAAGGTTACCATAAAAGTACCATAAGATTACCATAAGTACCATAAGATGTACAAAGTACCATAAGGTTTTAGAAACTTTCAGAGTCAACATTTTTCGATTGTAACAAACTTCAAAGTGATCCAATTGACCCAAAAACTAGATTTCTCGATTTTTCAGTTTTTCAGCTTTGAAATGAGCCTAAATACGACCCAATTCCTTCGATTTTAATTTTCGGCTTAAACACGCGACGCGCAGCCGCGACGCAGTAGAAATTAGGAAAAGCGTCGAATTTAGGCATGTTTAGGCTTTTTTTGAAGCTCTCCACTTGTCACATCCAATTTTTCTGGAAAAATTTATTTCAGCCCGTTTTTTATACTGAAAACGAGGAAAATAGGTGTGTGTCAGGAATGTGGAAATAGCTGAAAAACTAGGAATTCTCCGAAATTCGGTAAATGTTTTCAATCTCCAAAATTTCAAAACTGGTCAGGAACTTGATAGTCCAGCTCCAGACTCTTGAAAATGGAAAAAATCGATTGAAGAATACGTTTTTTTTTAATATCATGTACTAGTACTGTGCTTTGGAAAAAGGCCTGAAAAAAGGCCTGCCCTTCTAATACAGGCTTTACGGTATATTATTTTTCAGGCCCAAATAATGTTAATATCAGCAATAATCCGGAATTGGAAGAACTGGGATTGACAAATTTGACCTCAATAAATGGGATTTTTCATGTAACATCGAATCGCAAATTGAGAAAGTTAAAGCTACCAAAATTGAAGGTAACTGTTCAAATTTTTTGATTACTTTATGTTCCTTTAAAGAAACTCTTTTCCCAAAAAATTCTCAAAAAAAATTTGGAAAAATTCAAGACAAAAATCACCTCTAGCACTCCTAGGAGCCGAGATATGGCGATTTTAAGTTTGCTGTAGAGACACAGACAGTTAGAGTGTCTCGTTGTCTGCGCAATCGCCATCTAGACCAAAAGTTCCATCATCAATTTAAAAATTTTCAGGCCGCCCAACTATCCAATCCTTGGTTTAACGGTACTGCAGTTGCTATTGCTCATAATTCTCCACAATTTTGCCTAGCTCTTCGAGAAGCCAAAATTTTTCTCAACTACGAAAAAGTATCTTCTTTTATGTTCGATTCGAAAGTTTGCAAACCTGGAAAGCAGGCCAAAAAGGCTTGTATTGTTCCAAAAGTTGGATGTGTAAATTTCGTGGGAAATTTGAGAATTGGACCGAAATTCAATTTCAAAAAAGTGAAAAACTTGAAATTCATATATGGAAGTTTGATTGTCAAAAATTCAAGTTTAACGGATTTCAAGGTTTTTGAAAATTTGTTGGAAATTGTTCAATTGAACTCAACAAAACTGGCGATAGATGTTCAAGGGAACAAGAACCTTCAAAGCGCGACGTTTCCAAAATTGAAGGTAATTATTTTTTTACGTTTTCTGAAATTCCGCCAACAATTCGGAAAAATTCTAAACAAAAATCACTGTTCTGGCACTCCTAGGAGCCGAGATATGGCGATTTGTAGTTTGTCGAAGAGACACAGACAGCTAGAGTGTCTCGTCGTTTGCGTCTCTCTCCTTCTAAACTTCAAACGACGATATCTCAGCTTCTAGATGTCGTAGAGCACTCGTTTTTAGACTTCTACGTTTCTGAAAATTGAAATTTTCAGAAAACATTAGCGTTAAAAACTGCTTCAAAATTTTTTGGATCAGATTTCAAATTCAAAACTTTCCAGAGGATCTACTCTGCCAATACTGTTGGAGTCTTATTCAAAAATAACCACAATTCTTTGAAATTCGATTCCAAATCTTGTATTTCAATTCGATCGGCTATGCTAAGAGCCGGACCAGTATGTACTTGTTCGCCGATTTTTGACGATTTGAAGTGTGAAGAAATGGAACAATGGAAGAAACAGACTGGCAGGAAATGAGCCGTTTTTTTTTTGAATTTTTTGTGTAAATTGAATTGTGTAAATAAAATGAATTTACTGTATAATCATTAAAAAGAATTAAACTTTGAAAGTGTCGACAAATCAAAAATGCGAAAAACATTTCAAATCTTATCTGCACAAAATAAGTAAAATTTTGGAAACAACAAACATTTCTGAAATTGTCTGAAACTCTTTCTTCCAAATTTCAAAATTCCTAAAATACAAATTTCTAGAAAATTCTTTGTTTCAAAAAACTTATGAAATTCATTCAGAAGATTGTAAATGTTGTTTTTCTTTTAGGTCTACTTTTTAGGTGCCAGAAAGAAAGAAAGATTCCACTTCTCTAGCAAATTGTTAAGGGCTTTCTGGTTTACAGAAATTTCCAGAAAATCTGAAAGTTCGTGACTATTAAAAAGTTGAAAATCGTTTCGGATTATTATGATCTATGTACTACTCTAAACAACAATCTTTCGACCTTTTTCACACTTTTGAAATCCAATGGATAATCTTTCGATTATAATTCATCCTCCTACATTCGAGAATTGCAAAACTACGGCCAATTTTCATTTTGAACATGAAAAACTCGATTTTTCTCATATTTTTCTGTATTTTCTCTTGTTTTTCGAAATTTTCAACTGGCCAAAATGATTTTCCGGATTGTGGTAAGTTTTAGAGAATTCTAGAACTCAAACACTCTGAAAATTTACACTTTCAGACCCGAAATGTGTGTTTCAAATTGGAAATTTGACATCAAAAAGTATTGGATCATTTCCCAAAAAATGCTCCAAAGTTTGCTCCAAAATTTATATCGATGAGACAGCTAAATTAAGTGCTGAGCAATTAAAATATGTTTTCAAGGATATGAAAACATTGAAAGGAAGATTGGAAATTGTGCATACGAGTTATAAGAATTTGAATTTTCTTGCTGGACTGCAAGCTATTGAAGCTAGTAAGTACTTTCAACTTTCAGCCAAATTATATCGATTCCTGTCAAATATATCAAAAAGTTGTCAACTGATAAAATATTGGTGATATTATGATAAACATTTTATCAGTTTACACATTTTTGATATCTTCAAAAGGAACCGAGATAATTGAGTTCAAAGTTTTGACGGGTCATTGGCGGGCTATTGGCGGATCACCTCTCCGTTATGAAGATGTGGTAGATGATGTTCAAGGGATTCTAAATTTAAGCCAATTTTTCTCATCTCCTGTCAAAGATATCACAAAGTTGTCAACTGATAAAATGTTTATCACTTTATCACACACATTTTATCAGTGAACCACTTTTTGATATAAGACGGTTGAAATTTGAAGAATTTTTTTCGCAAGTATAGAAATAGCTCGGATTGATGATTTCCTGTACCATGTATTATTTATTTCAGTTCCACCAGATTTCTGAATTTTCTGTACAGAAATTATAAATATTCCAGAAATTAGTCAAAGTTATAGAAAATGTTTATTTGATGGACCTGAAAATGATCTTGAACAAAAAATAGGTGGACAAATTAAAATTGGATAGTGTAGACAGTTGGGACAGTGGTATTAGTTTGCTCAAATCCAGGTGACAACCAATATTCCTGCATTTTAAACTTTTCGTTGCTCTATGCATTCTTTTCTTCTACAGGTACATAATCGGTTCGCCTCCCGATTCTGTACTTTTTCAAAGGAAAAAGAGGTCACGCCAAATTCAAGTATTATTTGAATTTTGCCACGATAGGGAACAAAATCGGCAGGCAAACCGATTCTGTATTTAGTGAAAAAAATCAAATTTTTTCTGATTTCACGTGTCTTTTTGTGGATTTTGAAACATTACTCATGAGATCCGATTTTGAACCAATTTTTTGATCGACATCAACTTCCACAATACGCTTTTCCGGGTGAGAATAAATTCGGGTATTCTTCAAACTGATATAAATTCTTGGTTTTTATGGTTTTATTGTTTCGAAAAAATCAATAATTTGACAGAATAACTGTAGACGCTTTGATGGTTCTTACTGTTAACGCCGGATTGAATGTTATATAGAATCATAGTCTCAAAACATCAAAATTT